AGTAGCAGTAGCAGTAGTAGTAGCAGTAGCAGGAGTAGTAGTAGTAGTAGTAGTAGTAGTAGTAGTATTAGTAGTATGATGATGATGATTTGTAGTAGTATGAGTAATAGTCATAGTATTACTATTCGTATTAGCTAGTCAGCCATCCGACCCGCTCGCGGCAACCGCGAACATTCTGGGGCTCCCTACAAGAGATGCATGATCAGCCAGAATTTGCAATCTTTCAATCTGCACACACGTACCGTAAATTACTTGCATGTCGTTCAGGCCACCATCGGCTACACTGGCCCGGGTTGACGATGGCACAAGCGTTTAAGCAACATATCCTCAGCGCCAATGGGCCAATACCTCGGTCCCACCAAATACATCATGACATATATGGTCATCCTACACAGAGAGAGAGATGCTGAAACACATTCCAAACTGATTGGTAACACATAACATGGCATACCCGGAACCTTCCAGCTCAGGATGCGAAAGCTTGGGCCTAGTTAGAGGGTATACATTAAGCAGCTGAAACGACTGCTTACGAATGATCGCACTTGTGGACTTGAGCAAGAGCAAGATAGAGCGCCAGACCCTGGAAATAGCTGGCGCACTTCGTACCATCCACAGCCTCCACACCCCACTGAGGGGGTCTTGCCATAAGCAAGGCCAAGGCACGTGCATCTTGAATCCCACTCCTTGGAGGGAGCAACCGAATACAAGGAGGCGGTTGAAACGGGCTCCTGTTGACTTCTCTTCCCATGGGCCTGGGCAGTGAGACAAGGAGTGCAAAGGTCCTCCAGAGGGCTTCAGATTCGGAATCCTTACATGGAAAGAAAATGACTATCACGACAGGCAGCATGCAACAGGCGTTGTCCTCAGACTTCTACGTGTTTCCACTGCATCGCGCAGTCGATGCCAGGCTGCAGATCTGCAATGTTTGATCGCGAAGACGAAGTCGGCAAAGTCGGAAGACAGTGATCCGCATCTTATTGTACGGTGTAGTGACGAACTGGCACACTGGCGTTGCATTCGGACTGATCGGACCAGCCGTTCGCCGGCACAGGTCTCGTACGGAAGGTCCAAGTTGTGTGGCAGATATATTGGAAAAATCAGCTGTCTTGTCCGAGCATCGGTAAACAGTGCAATGCTGGTTCTCAAAGTTGTGTGTCGGTAGGGCATCAAAGATGCTCCTGCCAACACAGCGAGATGTCTTAGCTTTCTCCGACCTTTTCCAGCTAGATGCGGGCGCGAGGGGTGTAGCTCATCGGGAAAGCGTTGCTGTGACGTCGGATGAGGCAGCATGGCCTGCCTGTATCTTGCTAAAGCTGAAAGATCTGTAGCTGATTTGCGGTGCCAGGATTGGTGACTCATGGGATTGTCAAGCTCAAATCCAGGATTCCGTGTGCTCACAGGCAAGTCGTGTCATGTCAGGCTAGTAGTGGCTGTTCTTCAGTCTTGTGTTCCGCACTGGCTTCCTAGAGCTCTCGATGCTCGCTCGGAGTTGCATTCTTCAATTTGGAAGGACAAGTGAAGAGGTCCAGGAATGGAAGTGGTGTCGAAAGTCGCAATATGCTCTGCAGTCTGATGTAAACATAGCAGTGGAGGCATCTGCTTTCTTACATGTTTTGAGCACAACCTGTCTCTGAGGCTGGAGACAACCCCCCCGAGACTCTAATGTTTCACCGGCCGAATCGAGTGCAGCGGCAAGTGCGATGCATACAGGAAAACAAGAGAAGGAGCTAGTGCCTGGAAGACTCTTCAGCCCTGCTTCTTGAAGGGTAGCTTGCATCGGGCTGCATTTGCCGTTTTGGAGATGCAGCGGTTGGACGGCAAGTGCACCAGTGCCCAGGCCAGAGTTAGCTGCAAAACCTGCGAACCTGGATGGCCTCAGTGTCACTTGGAAGCACTAGCATTGCTCACCTTGCGTGTAAGCGTAGTGTCGAGGCACAATGAGTGTAGTGCCGGTCGTATGGTTGAAATTGTCGTCTGCTTGGGATCTGACGTTTGAAAGTCCAAGAGTAATGTATCATGTGGTTCTAATTTCTAATCGATGCTCGTATGGGTTCGCAGGGTGGTCCGGAATGTGGTGCATGGTGTGCACGGTGGGGCTTCACTGCGTCCACACTGAAACTCCCTCAGTCATCATGCGTTCACTGTCACTTGCAAACTTTGCCGCTGTAGTCACGCGGAATTGCGAAACAAGCTAGACTCCCTAGACAAGTGGGTGAAGGAGTCGATTGCTTGGAGCGAGGGCTGATGCGGCATTATTCCAGCCAAGGATGCTGCTGACGAGGCTGCCTTCATGTGAGCTTTGGGAGACTGATGTGGATGGCAACAATGCAACTAGCAAAGCTCATGACCCGTGTGTTGTTGTTGATTGGAGAGATCGTGTACAGCATGCTGTTGCTGTGACAGGAAGAAGCCGAGAAATGTGTATGCCTGAAGTCCATGGTATCTTCTGGTCTGATCTAAACGAAAATGCAGTTTCAATAACAATACGACAGGTTTTGACAGTTTGAGGCGCTTTTGTTGCAAGTGTTCAGATTAAGCCTTTGGCCTTATCTGAGAGGTGTGTTTCTTGCAAAATGCTAGTTGTCAATGGCAGCTCATCCGCCTGTCATATGTTATGGGTTCGGCCAACATCCAGGTTATCTCATATCTTCGACGTGTCCTTGAGGGCAGGCGCCAGTTTTCGTCGGAATGTGATTTGTCAGGATGATGATTCAGAGGCGCAGCTGGCGTGTTCTGAGCCGAAGATGGGGTGTGCGACGGTATCTGAGGAGCCCACCGTCGAAACTTAATAACAAGGTTTTTTTTGACATTTGTGGCGACAAGCTGGATTCCAGCTAAGCCGATTGAATCCGTGCTAGTCAGCTTTCTTGCTCATAACACTCCAAATGCCAATCCAGCAAGAAGGTGTTGTTGCTTCGCATGGCAGGGCTCGATTGACTATGTGGAAGTCTGCAGCTTTTTGTCCTGAGCAGACTGCAGTTGTGGGTCGTGCTGCTCAGATGTCAGGTGAGACGGAAGCAGGAGAACGCCTTGGCTGCACTACGTGCATTAGAGGTCCGAATCCAACATCCGCTTACAGGGGAAGAGGGTGGGTGACTGCAGCTGCAGCTGCCAGCCTTTTCCATTCCCTTCGCTCCAGCTTTGCTTGAGATGCGCTGTAAAGAAGTTTGGCGAGAGTTCGCACGTTGTGTCGCTGGAAAGACGGAGGCCTCTTCGCCACAGCGCATGCTGTCTTCAGACGTTCTTGAAACATGAACCCCCGTGTTGTTGATGATCGGTGTAACAGAATTTGATGGAGTCCTTGCAAGTGGTTCATTGGCAGGAATTTGATCGACTTGGTCGTGAAAGAGATGCGATGTTGGCGAAGTGTCTTGCAAGAGCTGTGTCTTTGTAACAGCAGTACAGGAAAGCAGAACTGGTATTTACATGTTTTCGGCTCGCGTGATGTGCTGCGCTGGAACCACGCAGGCTCTGTGCTTCCGTTTTGCATGGAGATCAGTTTTCAGGTACCGCCGGAAGTACGGAGACTGATGGGCAGAGAGAACTGCTGTTCCGGGCGAAACGGCCAGGAAAGCGTAGGAGGTTTCTCGCACCAGCACCGGCCGGTGCCAAGGCAAAAAAGCTTCTCAGCAATGCATGCCTGGGTGCGAGAGTCGTAAGAGTGGTTCCGTCAAGTCGAATATTGCCAGATGACGTGTGCATCCATGCAGTTAGAGCCCATTTTGCGAAAATTGTTCCGCAAATTTTCGGGCACGTGACTTGCTCTGTCAAGCAGTGGGGCACATGCATCCTGCCCACGAGCCTCATTTATGTTTGGTGTTTTCTTTTCTGCAAAGCCTGACGTCAGCCACGCTCTTCAAATCGTTTGCAGCTTTGTGCGGTGGAAGTTCGTGCATTGTGCCGGGCCTATGACTTCCCGGAAGGCCTGGTGCAATCCTGTGCGGTAGGTCTTCTCCTGCACATGCTTTTGTAGGGTCCCTGCAGTTCCTTGTGGCAGCCCCTGGCAAGCAGATGTTTTACTGCAGCACGCCGCACCCTGCACCACATGATCGGGCTTGTGCCTGTGTCGTGTCCGCTTGATAGCACTTGTATCGCAATGGGCAAACCAGACTGCAGTTCGACACACGTCTTCCATCATTCTGATGCTGCTTTCTGGGGCTGACTCCTTCGAGATTTCGAGGCTTGGAAGAATTTGGTGTTGCTGACGGCCGGATGGCAGGCAAGTGTTGCGAGAGACGTTGGTCACTGATGACGGGTACTTGTATCTGCAGAGTCTGCAGTTATGACCTAGGCAGCATGGCCATGGTTGGGACTGGCATTCACACTACGAGGCAGCACGATGTGTGCTAGCGGATAGCGAGACGCAGAGTTGCTTTCAGCTTTAGGTTCCTTCCGTACATGAGCTGCTTTGCTTGAGCCTGGCATGCCTGGCCTTGCCTGGCCTTGCCTAGGCTGGAGGCCTTGGGCTGACCAAATGAAGGCCACTCGAGTTACGAGTTGAGAGGGTGCTCAGTATGATCTCACTGGGACAAGTTCTGTAGATTTTTGTAGATGCCAACGAACAACACGGCTTCCGATCCTGTCCTTTTCAGGCGATGACGCCAAAGGTCGATTGTCAGCAGGTGGGATGTGTGCCTTGCAGGCTAAGCTCTGCATCATGCTCTCGTGATTCGTGATCGCCAGCTTGTGTGATGTCTCAGATGTAGCAATGCGGAACCCTCACAGCTGACAGGCTACACAGCACTTGCACTAAGCTTCTCTTCACTTACCCAGCTGTCACAGCCGCGTACAGATATATGCTTTGCACCTTGGCGATGGGCTGTGCCCAAACTCGCCTCCATGGATCTTCGGCTTGGGCTCCTCGTTGTTGGCTTCTTTCTTTGCCATGTGGCTTTTGAAGCCTTGAACGAGATGCTGGTTGCTTGGGAGCAACTAGGGCAAAGCATGATCTGAAGAAATACTTGCCGTTTGCAATGCTTTCGATTGGTCAAGATCTTGTGGGAGAGTGGAACACCCCAGGGGTCTTGACCACCAGCATTCCGTGTCGTGGGTTTTGTTGACACTTCGGGCATCTGCACCTTTCAGGTCACGCTGCCCAATGTTCCGCACAGCACCGAATTTGCATTCAGGTCAGATTTGCATGCTTGTTGCCGATGCATGGGCTTGTGCAACATGCGGACAAGGCACAGATAGCCACATAGCTCACAGCTACTTGAGAGAACATCTTTATATTGCAAGCTCATACTTGTGGCCCATTACATGGCAAGCCTTGTCCCACTGTGACTGGACCAGTTTGGGAATTCTGGTTTTATTGCAAGCCAACCAGAGTTGAGGTGTGACCCTTTGGAGTGTTGCTGCGCAGTTTGGTCTTTGTACAGTGGCGCCGATGACACGAGCACCGAGGGCCTTATTCACCAAAAGTTCCTGGTGGCCGCTACCTGGCTTGTTTCAACACTGGATGGAAGTTTACATTGAGCCGACCCAGGACAATCAATGTGCTGCATATTTAGAGGTGCAGGAAGCCTTCGGGAATGCAAAGCTGTTCACAGTATGAACCCGACTGGAATCGAAACTGTGGTGCCAGAGAACGGCATAGTTCGCAAGTAACATAAAAAAAGCCTGTCGAAGTGCCGCAACTTCCAGGTTCGTCACGGTGTCGTGCATGGTGTGACTCGGTCAAGCATGAAACCCCGAATCGAGCAAAGTTTCTTGCTGGTGCTGTGCGCGTTCTGCCGGCAGCAGCTAGGTCTGGCCAGTCAAAATCCAGCGAGGAACTTTTGATGAGGTCATGCAATAGATGCAGCAGGACCTGTGTCGTCAAGTGGCTCATAGGTGCAGAACCTTTCTGAAATACGTGGGCGTGTTGCGTGTTGAACTGAGGTTTTTGTCGAACGGCTTGTCGCAGTACTCTACACATCACGTGGAGTTCACCGTTAAGATTGTGGCCAAAGCTAGCAAGCTGCAGGATTCTTAGCTTTGATCAGGCTGCGTCATCGCTCGAACCCCTTCGGCTTCTGAAGCAGTTGTACAGTTGTACTGGCCAGTCGTCGGCTTTGGCAAGCAGCTTGCAGATACCAAGGGCTGCGCAAGATCCTCCACGAGCGACGAATCACATGGCTAGGTAAGGCTGATGACTTGAAAGGTTGCCCACAATGCTGATCTCGGGCTTACTGGGCAACTCGAGTCACTTCCAGGCAGCTCCTTGCCCTTCAGCACTGGCACTGGCCTTGCTGCTGACTCTGCCGCTTAGCATCTGGAGGCCTTGGATTATGCAGCAGCTTTGCTACTATGTGTGTCTTGGATGAATGATGTTTGAGCCCACAGCTGACGAACCGACAAGGCAGTTGGGGTTCATTGCTCTTCGGACCAAGCGGCTCAAGTTGGGGGGGGCATCGGGGCCCATGATATCGAGGCAGGGACGGCTCTTTTCTCGTATGGTGGCGGTCGAGCGCCCAACGCGGCGAGCTCCTGGCAGGTGGTGGTGGGCAGCATGGCTTCTGTTTGCTTTTCCCTTAAATCACGAAATAGTTGCAGCACGATGTGTCCATGGCATCCAGGTATGTTGGCGCTCGCACTGTCATGCATATTCGATGGCTTGGCTTGCCACTGAGAGATCGTTGCAAGCATTCTTGTCAGAATTTGTTCGCGGTGTGACCCTCTGATACCCTCTGCAAAGACTTAGGGGAAAGTGCGGAATCTGCATGTGGGGCGGGGGCTCGGGGATGGACGGGCGTGCCATGGCTTTCTGATCTTGCAGTGCTGAAGACTTGCTGTGTGGGAGCTGACAATGCGGGGCACGGCCAGTGCAGTGCAGAGAGCTGCAGAAAACCCGTACCATGATCTGCAGATAACCAGGCGCACTGCAACATGACACCCAGTCACGCCCACGAAGATGATGAGGCCCACGGTACTAGACCACTATACCTCGGCCCACAATGCTTCAGAGCAACATGTGCGCGGACGGCGTGGACCGGGCGTGACCAAGGAGCCAGGTCAAAACTCGGATTGGGCTGATTGTCCAGATTCCACGTTTAAGTCCATGCACTTGTCGAGTTGCGGTTCTCGAGGTTCCAAACCTTCAGCAGAAGATCATGCGCACTGGGATTACCTCGACAGAGCTCATGATCCGAACCAACGCCGTCGGTTCACTGGCAGGCACTTCCTGAGTTGCACAATGCCTGGATCGTTATGGTCCGTGGCGTCCGGGCTAGGACTGAAGTGAGGAAGTGATCAGTAAGCAAGAGACTTCACGATTTCTTCAGGTGTTGCTGGCATCGTACTGAGTCGGGATGTGATGTCCATGGTTGCCTATGCAGGTGGGAAGCTTTCACGCTGATTGATTGTCTGAGTTCGTTTTTGAGCCCACCCATGTCCATGGGGGCTATGTGAATTCCCGTTGTAAGGGGCATTTATGAGTTTGTAGATTCCGGCCGGCCGTAGCCTGTTGAATTGAAAGACTCTTCGGCCAGCCTTAGCATTAAAGTATTCAATAAAGATCCTACCTATAAAATATAACCTTGCGAAGCTTTGCCTCACCGTCTGCCGTTCACGTCCCTTCAAGCTCAACCACTTCATGCCATCGGAGGACTTTGCATCTTGCCTGCCCCCGAAAGGCGTTGGAGAGATTTATTGACTCGGTGGTCGTGGTCTCCTGTCCGTCCAACTTGGCGTTGAGCAGTATGTCTTTCAGGGGTTCAAGGCATCCTGCAAGATTTTAAAGGGTTGATCTGCTATCCCGCTGCAAAAGGCCAGCAGCCAGAGCTGTGGTGGCTCATCCCGTCGATCGGGTTGTCCTTGGCAGGCCGGTTTTCGCAACTCAAGCGTGCTTTTCAGTGTGGGGCTGGGGGGGGGGCGGCCGTCAGAATGCGAGCTGCAGGCAGTGTTCTATGCTACACCGACCTGGTGGCCCATGCTGGATCTGTGGCGGCAGTGGGAGTGGCCACGCTTCGCAAGAGTGCCTCGTTGCTTCTTTCGTTACCTGGCTACCTAATGCCTCCAACGACTTACCTACTGTACATACTTACAGTCGCTCTCGTGCGAGCTGAGGTATTTCTTGTTTCCAGGAAAGCCATTCAGTACTCTAAGTGGGCTTGGGCTCCTGGTCCTTACACTGGGCCTTCTTCTGGCAGAACGCCGTGCAACATCGCGCAGCAGAGCAAAAGGCTGCTGCCATTCCGGGCAATTCTATTACTTGAGCTCAGTTCTCTGTTGGTGCAGTCCTGTGCAGGGTAGGGGCCGGGGCATTTGCAACCTGTCAGGCGGCAATGGCAACGAAAGGAATGAGAAAGAACACACTGCTCTGGCTGGCAGCTGGGGCCAGAGCAAGGCAGACTAAGATTTGCCATTACTTGCAAAAGCCACAGTTTTCAAGATTAGATGGGTTTCATGCGGGAGCAGCGATGTCCAATGCCCTTGACAAGAAGCTGGAGCTCGAAGATCAGTGGACGATCCGAGTTCACCATGCATGCAACTCCGTGCAACGACCATGGAGGGAGTAATTACAGTCTCTCGAAGCTCATGCTCCGGAATTGTCAGCAAAGCAAGTTGCTGGCTTTCGCTCGTCATGGTGTGCTTGGACTCTGATGCAGATCCGCGCGCCGACACGCTGTTGAGGCATCGGCCGCTGAAACTTGACTGCAGCTGCCAGGAGGTGGAACGCTGCAGCCAGGGAGGAACAGCATCTACGCGGCGGACGCAGACACAAAGATGGAGAAGCATCGAAGATCCAATGTGAACAGTAATGCCATTGTTCACCCATAGAGTAATTCGAGCGGAAGGCTCCGGCTTCCATGCTCGGGGCAGATATGCCACGGACTTGATAGGTGCTCGAGCTGAAACATGCAGGACAGAAGAGGAGCTTCCGCAGCTGAGAATCTAGGAGGGCTTTTGACCCGCACTTTGCAGGCGAATGCAGTTGAAGCCTGGGCGGCTGCCTCAGAGAGCCAGCCTTGCTCAAGCTGCTGTGTTTGCTGTGTTTCTGTGCGGATCTGTGCGGGGTGTGTGGGGCTAGACGATCTCTTCATTTGCTCGGGCACACGTACAAAAAGGGATTCAATACATCCAGGGCGGTCGGGGAATTCTTTGGGTCACTGCTGCTTTCGAAGGTTCGGCGTGTTGTCGTTGCACACGGGCTTTGTCCTTGGGCTGACGGAGCACTGAGGCCTTCGCCATGCGCCGTGCTTGTGCGATCACGTATTGCTGATGTCTAAAGCTGTTCTGCGTTGCTGAACGCCAGTGAACTTGAGAGCAACCAGACCGAATGGCGAGGAATCTAGGCTTTAGCAGCATGTGCAGGCAAGGAAGCTTGGCTGTTGTATCGTTGTTTGAGGATGAGGAGGACGCGCCTGCAAAGTGCTGTGATAACTGCGTACTTCAGGTGTCGGGTTCCGTTCCATCAGATCCTCATCCTTGCCCGGAAGCTGGCAACAGGTAATGTGTTCAATGGCTTTTGTTCCATGCCATACGCAGACAGACAGCATGCGCTCAACCCGCACAGCAAAGCAGGGCGAGGCGCCGACAAGTCGTCGGTTTGCCTTCGCAGGCTTGCTCAACCAAGAAATGCTTCCTAGCTGTGTACAGCTTCTGTGGATTCAGCGATGTGCGCTTAGCGGCCGGGTGTTCCTGCACGCCCACTGTTTAAGCTGAGATTGACAACGATGAACTAACATCCACGTGAGCTGCAGCCTCGTCGACTTGCAATGAATCGGGCGATGGAGGCCTTATTCCGCGTAGGAGCTCCCACAAATCTTCAATGCTGTCACATGAAGCGACATCTTGATAACATTGCGGATGCGGCAAGTAACGTAGTAACTGTCCGACCAGACAACGACAGGTCCCCCATGAACATGACACCAAATGGCAGCTGAAATGATCGGTCAGTTCAGCATTGTTGATGTATTGACCACTGCCAGGTAACAACCCCGCGAAACAGGATCATACAGCATGATGTGAGTTTGCATCGATGCAGACTCATCCTGCTTTAAAAGCGATGTGTGCATCTTCAGGAGTCGCACAAGTGCCATCGATAAGAAGTATCAAACCTAAAGGCTTTGACGGTCCAAGTAGAAGACCGCAGTGCTGTCATCAATCATGTGGAGTGCCTCCCAAATACAGTTGACCCAATCAGCGAATGCCAACCAGTACAAGGACAATGGCAAGCTCGGTGCTCAAGGAAATTCTTGAAAAAATATAGGCCTTGGAAAATTCAGAAGTTATCCGGACTAGGGGCGGCATTGAGTTTCAGATTTAATGAAATCTGGGTCAAACACATTTTAAAAAGGCTCCGGAAAATATGTTTGATTTAATTCAATATTCGGGAGGCGCTGCAGGCACTAGCATCGAAAAAATATTTCTCGAGCATCCAAGACGTCATGCAAGAAACCCGAATGGCGTGAGGTCAGCAGAGAGCATCCGGTGATGTAAAAGTGAGGGTCCGACTCAAAGTTTGTCTGGCCGAGACTAATCCAGATGCGAGGATGCGGATTCAGCTTCGCAAGATGGTGCCGTGTGGAAAGTGGAGAAGAAAGTAAGGGCAGACAGTCTCGGTGATGCAGACATTCAGTTCAACATCGATTTGCTGGTGAACGAGATGCAGTTCATGGGCGAGATTTGAGAAGGGACCTGGTAGCAGCCCATGCTCGAATCTGGGAAAGAACTGAGCCCACCATTCTCGTAAACCAGAGCTCTTGCAAAGACGACCGCACAAGTTGCATGGTACGGTCCAAACCTGGAAAAGCCCGGATCAAGCAAGCCATCCTCCAGCATCATGGATGCAACAGGGCAACTGGTTCCATGCTATAGCCACGTTTTTGCCAGCATAGAGTCGGTCAAGTTCGTGCTGCCAACTTGCTCTTGAACTGCATCTTTTGCAGGAGCAGGTGGCAGCAGCCCTGGTGAGTCACGCGCAGCTACTTGCCGGCAGCCGAGATTTCTCGCGCAGGCACTGGGGCCACACTGTATCAACTGACAATCCGTTGAGGCGCTGCAGCAGCCGCCAGAGGGTGCCGGTGCCACGACGCTGCTTGTGGCACCGAGGCAGGGGGCTCGTAAAGCCAGGAGCCGTAGAAGGCAAACATCCATTGCCTTGATGATCGTGTACAGGTGCGAAAAGCTTCTTGACTTCGAGGCCATACATTGCACGCATGCAGCGAGTGGAAACGGCAAAGGCTTGCAGTCTTTCAGGCGTGTAAACCGTGTAAACGCGTTCAGTGACATGTTCTGGTTGCTGACTGGGCTGCAGCAGGACAGAAGAGAGCACCATCTGACGTATTCTTGCATTGAATGTCATCAATGTGGCGTGGTCCCACGGTGAGGGCTACTTGGAGCTCTGCGATTGGGTCGAAGAAGCTTTTTCAGAGCTGGACCTGATCGGTAAAGCTGGATTCTCGGACGGTGTGCCATTCAGACCAAGGCTTTAGATTGCTCTACGCTGTCACACGAGTCCATGTTAGTTGCAAGCGATAAATGTCACTGTGAGGGGAAAGTTCGAGCCAGGTGCAGATGGCTGCTTTTCATCCAGACTTCCGCTTCAATGGTTCTGCCACACACTAAGATCCGTGACCAGCCGTAAAGCATTTTATGCTTGAAGCTGCACACTGCGCGATGCTGAGGATGCGGCGGACTGTGCAAATTTTGTCGGTCGTGCTCCATATCCTGCTTTCCATTTGCTACGAGAGGAGGAGTGCATCGGACTGCATGTCGTTGTCAAAAGCAAGCTGGGTTTGATCTGTTTCGCCTGTGCTGAGTTTGCACTTGCTGCAAAGACAGTCCTGCCGAACCAAGCCCCGCTATGAAGCTGCCTAGCCAACAGGAAGCTCGGGGATTTCATACGAGGAACGTTTCAATTGCAGATTCGGTGCTGGGTGCTACGGCTACTACACCAAAGCTCGAATGTGACTTACCTGGCAGTGTAGACATGTTACTCAGTTCTAACTTCTGACTCAGTTGAATCCGTCTTCCGCTCGATGAGCTAGGCGGTTCACGGGTATGTAGTACTGTTTGCAATCCGAAGGTGGTGGCACAGAAGACTGCTTGTGGTATAGCCATCGGCTTTCGCTTGCTGCACCGTCACATGTAGGCTCTGGTTGCATTGGAGAAGCGCCCAAGGCCATTCTAGGCCTTTTCGAGACTTCCAGTATCTTCCTGTACGGTCTGCAGACTTTGACTTTCAAGAGGACTGCAAAGGTGCAAGTAGTGCTCAGGTTCATCCGGGACGCAAGCCAGGTGCATCCGTCCGTTTGTGTGCAGACAAAGCCGCCTTGTGCTGATTTATTTTTCTCGTGCTGATTCAGTCCAGCAAGTTTGCCACGTGGCCGAGACTGGGCTCGCAGGCCTGCGTTTGAGCTTAAGGCGGCCACTGTCATACTAACGTTTGTATCCGTTGTTCAGTTGACTCTCTTCCTTTCGGCGTCGTCGCCCTCATGACTTTGGTGAAAGCTCAGAGCGTTCGGTAAAGGTGTCGCGAAGTGGGAAGGCATGCCAGCTTGGGAGTCATTGCCACCGCTGCTTGCAACGCTTTGTGTAGTGAGATTGCACGAGTTTCCGAAGTGTTTTGTTGTCACGCAACGGTGGACAAATCGTATGTTGACGATGTCGAGTTTTCTTTGCAGTGGCTTCAGCGGGGCGTCACTCTGACCGCTGCGTCTACATGTGCTGTGTCATTGGGGCTTCAGCGCGGCTTTATGCGGCTTTGGCTCGCTGAATAGGAGAGCTCATGATTGGCTTCGGCCGGCATGCAACGCGGTGCGTGCTGTGGTTACGGTTGCTGGGTGCTGGTCGCTGGCTTCTGTTTACAAGTCGGCAAGCTCACGCAGGCTGTCGCAGACGGGACGTTGCACGTAGACGCTTGCAGTTCCCTCCGGAGATAGTCAGGCCAATGCTGTTGATGTGCGGTTGGAACAACGCTGCACGGTGCTCGGTGCCTTTCTTCGTGTTCCCGCAGCTGCAGTTCAATGGGCATGATCGGCCTTTGAGGCTGCCGTGCCTTGATTGTGCATTTCCTGGGTGGTCGTAGGAAGGAGTCTCACCAGGGGAAAGCCTTTTCTAATCCGAACCAGTCAGCACTTCCATGAGCGGTCCCTGCCCCCATGCAAGGAACAAAAGTTGCAGTTCTTCAATGGTTCTTCAACAAGCGTCCGTTTGTGACCTTGGCGCCCTCGTCGTTTTCGCTGGGCGACTTCAACACTGTCTCGCATGGTTCGACTATGGCTCGACTATATGGGACATGTTGCCAGAAGCCCCTCTACTGAATCAAACCCCAGACGTCGCCCTCCCAGGGGCCAGCGTGTTAAGCCCCTCTTTGCAGGCCCTGCAGATTCAATCGTGTGCTGCATGAGTCTCGCGGTGCTTCGTAGACAACGTCGTGGCCACGAGAGACAACGTCGTGAATTCATAGCTTTTGAGGTGTTGGTTGCTGCACTCGGGCAAGCTACGTTGGACAGTCCTGCTTGCGCACCTCCTTTCCCCACACCCTTTTCTCCTGGGCGGGAGAACTTGGCAGTGCGACGTCAAATGCTTGCGGTGGCTGTCATGACTGTCCGAATCAAGCCCTGTCGTGAGGAAGCTCCCGGTTTCATACGAGGAACGTTTCAATTGCAGATTCGGTGCTGGGTGCTACGGCTACTACACCAAAGCTCGAATGTGACTTACCTGGCAGTGTAGACATGTTACTCAGTTCTAACTTCTGACTCAGTTGAATCCGTCTTCCGCTCGATGAGCTAGGCGGTTCACGGGTATGTAGTACTGTTTGGAATCCGAAGGTGGTGGCACAGAAGACCTAGGTAAACATTGCTTGTGGTATAGCCATCGGCTTTCGCTTGCTGCACCGTCACATGTAGGCTCTGGTTGCATTGGAGAAGCGCTCAAGGCCATTCTAGGCCGTTTCTTTGACTTTCAAGGAAGTTCTGTCAAAGTACTGGTTGAAGACGTTGAGTTCGATATGTGAGTGGTCCGCAAAACCCGCAAGCAGTGGTACTGGTCTTGTTGAACGAGGCCCACCAGGCGCATCCGTCCGTTTGCGTTCAGAAACGGGCGCTTTGTTCGATTATTCTTCTCGCGCGTCGCTCTCGGTTCGGCAGGTCTGCTTCTTGGAGCTGTCGTGTCACGAGAGTTTCTGTGGACGGGATATCATCGTCGAGGTCTCCGCTGTTCGTTTGGGCATTGTCACCGGAAAGCAGACTGAGAGATTTGTCGAAACAGGATGCGCGTTTTCGTGGAAATTTATTTTCTGCATCTGTGGGTATTTTTGCTCCTCGTGCGCTTTCGCCTTTTGCTTCTCCGCTCCGCTTCGGAGCGCGAGCTGCCATTGCCTGCTTCTGCACTTTTTCTTGTCCGCTTCTCCGTTTCTGTGCTTCGGGCATCCTCAGACCACTTTCTGCCGCATATCTGGTCTCTTGCCCGCTCTTCTGCTCCGGCACTTTTCTGTGCGCAGCTCTTCTCCATTTTTTCAGCTTGTCTGCTTCGCTGCGCGTTTGCGCTTTCTGCTTCTGCGCTTCTCCGCTTCCGCGCTCTTCCGCTGTTCCGGTCTCTGCCTGCTCCGCTTAGCTGCTTCGGCACACCCAAAATCTAGCTTATTTGCCCAAGTACTGCTGCGATTGCAGGGTTTCTGAGGCCTAAACGTGGTCCATGCATTGTAATTTACAATGAACTTGGCTCACGGGGGCACGCTGGCACACGGATCTTGTGCACATGGGACACGCCGCAGCAGGGAGCCTGTCCCAAGGAGCACCTTGCTGTCTCACCCCCCGAGCAACCACCAGTCTCTGTTTGTTTCACGCAACCCCCAACTACTGATGGGCTTCAGGAAGATTGGCCAACATGCTTTACCCGAAGTGCTGCCAAATACTGGCGCATCATCTTGCTGTGGCTCATGCGCCTCGCGCCTGCCTGCGGTTGTTTCGGACTCTATATCTATATCTATCTACCTATATATATATATATATGTCTCCTAATTATCGGCTAGGTAGGTCTGGAATTGGGGGATCAGTTTTGCGATCGTAAGAACTGCCCTGAGGCCATTTATCCGTGGCCATTTTGGCACGAGCCGATCGGCCGTGCCCAAAAGAACCCACCCACTCCGCCCTTTTCTGTTCTT